TATTTGTATTAGAAAATCATGAAATGTTTTGGCGGGTTGTGAAAATTGAAATTTCTCTCTCTTTCTCATATTTATTTTTCTATCTCTCCTTATTTTACATGTACTCTCGCTCTCTCTCTTTCTCGTTCTTCTCTTCCTCTGCTGAACTCTCTCTCTCTCTTCTTCCAAGAAAAAATTTCGAATTTCTAATAACTCACTCGTTCTTGATCAGAATTGAGTGATTCTTGTTTCTATGAGTTCACAACAAAGAGGAGAACAAGATGGCACCCATATATTGCCTATGGAATCCATCACGCTCGGAAGCTCACCGGAGCTCCACTGTCGTTCGCGTCGTGAGCTGCCATCTCCGGCAGTGGAGGTTGACACTACTTGATTCAAAATGTTGAGGGCGACGTCGGGATGCTAAGCCCTGAAGAAATTTTGAGGAAGGAGCTTCTATTTTTGAGGTAGGGTTTTCCACTTTTTCCTCCTATTTGGTTTAAATCCAAATTTACTCTTGTTTTTTTTGTTCTATTTTGGTTGTGGTTATGATGGCTTGGAGACAAAAATGTGTGATAATATTTATTCATGTTCATGGTGCAATTTTTATTTCTTTTAAGCGAATTCTATGGCCACTTCTTTTGCAATCTTTTTCTTTTTTTTTTTTTTGGTTACTTGCCTTTTCAGGTATCATTTTTGTTGTTGTTGTTGTTGTTCTTGTTTTTTTGTTTTTTTTTCCCCTCCAGGCTTTTTGGTATGTAGGCTGTGGCACTCGGCCTTTTTGGTATGTGGGCTGTGTCTGTGATATGTATCAAGATCCAATGCCCTTCGTGGTGTCAGTTTCTTTGCGAATGTGTCACTACTTGCCTGTATGGCATGTAATTATAAGCTTTCTGGTCTTGTGCATTTGTAAATTAGGATGTTTCATTAGTTGTTAGTTGGTGTCTAGTGTATTTTTCTTTTATTAATGCCAACAGTACCTTTCACAGATATTACCTGTACTGGTTACCACACGTCGATTTGGAACTGTATGTGTTCACCATGTTATTAATCTTGCCCAGGTGGTAATGCTGATTATGCAATGGATATGCACCAGAAAGAACAACTTCACGACAATAGCATGTCAATGATGCAATCTCAGGTCTTAGATCGTTTTTCTTTTTTAATTACCTGTCCTTGTTATCTTATGAGTTTACTCTTAATACTTCCATGTTTCAATACCCAGATGGGGAGGTCTGCTGGATTCAGTCTCGGAGCAACATATTCATCTCATCGACCTCAGCAGCAACAGCAACATGCTCCATTAGTCATCAGTAGTGGTGTGTCCTTCACACCTGGAAACAATCAGGATCTGCTGCACGTACATGGCTCTGATATGTTTCCATCTTCCCATTCATCTTATCATTCCCAGGTATGATCATCTGGTGTTGCAAATAGTTCTTTTTCTTATCTGATTCGGTGGTTTCAAATGGAAACATGAGAGTCTGTTTCATTTTTGCAAATCTAAGTTGTGGTTAATTAGAGATTGGGAAAAGCAAACTAGTTTGTGTACCAAGAAAAAAAAAAAGAAGAGCCAACACCTGGAAACGTGGAAATAATTGAAAGATCCAAATACAAAGAAAAAACCTTCCATTACTCTCTTGTGCAGCATGCCTAAAGACGAAGCCCAGTTATATGCCGCAAATGAACTGTAAGCACTTCCCACTTACTATTTCTAAGCACTTTCTATATGCACGTTGTCTACTCAAAATCTATTATGTAACCAAGTCGACTGAATGTTTTACTAACTGCCTTGACTGACATCTTCAATTGCAGTTATAACAGAGGCTGGTTTTATCACAAAGAAGGATCCTACACTGTTTTGATCCAAACACATTTGAAACAATCCGCAAGGTTAGGAATACAAATCTTATTCTGAAATTACACGGGATGGAGTTTGTTTTTTTTTACCACACCATTTTTTTCTATCTTATATATATATATTGTTTTTGTTTCATCATATATATATTTTTTCACTTACCAACGACGTGGTCCCACTAATGCACTTAGAGCCTGAGCTTTTTGCCCACGAAGAATCGCGATGCTACACGATGCTGTAGCAGAATTTGTTCACCAGTTTTCAGGCACGCCATAACTGAGTGCCCCGTCCGTCCGTCAATTGCTACAGCAACCATGCCACCAAATGAAAGTCTCAGTGTTCTGCCATAAACCAGGATGTGAATTAGCACGAAAGAAAAGAAATAAATGAATCGAAACTAAAGGTAAAACAAAGAAAAGGAAAGAATATAAAATAAAAAGGATTAGAAACTTTGGGCTGCCTCCCAATATCGCTTGTTTTAACGTCGACAGCTGACTTTCTACTTGTTTCAAGGATCTTGCAAGGTGATAGAGGTCCTGCTCTTGTCAACCTCTGTTCCCCAGTAATGTTTCAACTGCTGGCCATTAACCTTGAATTCTCGGCCTGACTTTTCCTCGAGTATATCTACAGCTCCATGAGGGTACATCTTGACAACCTTGAATGGGCCTGACCACCGCGATTTAAGTTTACCAAGAAAAAGCTTCAGTCTGGAGTTAAATAGAACACTTGTTGTCATGGTTCAAAGTCTCTTGGTTGAATCCTCTTATCATGCCACTTCTTAGTTTTGCCCTTGTACAGCTTAGCATTCTCATAGGCAAACAATCTCAGCTCCTCCAACTCGTTCAACTGCGGCAAACGAGCTTCTCCAGCAGCTTGAAAGTCTATATTGATCTTCCTTGTAGCCCAGTATGCTCGGTGTTCAAGCTCCAAAGGCAAGTGGCAAGCCTTGCCGAATACAAGCCGATATGGTGACATGCCCAATGGGGTCTTAAAGGCTATTCTATAAGCCCAAAGTCCATCATCCAACCTCAGTGACCAGTCCTTCCGATTAGGATTCACCATTTTTTCCAAAATCCTCTTAATCTCTCTGTTGGATATCTCAGCTTGTCCACTGGTTTGAGGATGATATGCCATAGCAATTTTATGCCTGACCCCATATTTGGCCAACAACCCCTCAAACAACTTACGACCAAAATGCATCCCCTCATCACTTATGATGGCTCGCAGAGTTCCAAAATGAGTAAAGATGTTCTTCTGCAAGAATTTAACCACGGCTCGTGAATCATTAGTAGGAAGTGCCGAAGCCTCCACCCATTTCGATATGTAATCAATAGCCACCAAGATATACAAATTCCCATGTGATGGAGGGAACGGTCCCATGAAATCTATTCCCCAAACATTGAATAATTCTACCTCGAGTATGTCGTTCAAAGGCATCTCATGTCTTTGGGAAATGTTTCCCACTCTTTGGCACCGGTCACAGGTTTTGGCAAACTCATGAGCATCTTTGAAGAGAGATGGCCAAAAGTATCCTGATTGCAAGACTTTGGTGGTTGTTCTAAGACCTCCAAAATGCCCTCCATACGGTGAAGAGTGGCAGTGTTGCAAGATGCTAGGTACCTCCTCTTCGGGGACACATCGCCTCAAAATTTGATCGGCGCATTGCTTGTAAAGAAAAGGCTCATCCCAAAATAGGATTTCACATCATATAGGAACCTCTTTAGTTGCTACCACTTTATGTCAGGAGGTGTCTATCCGCTCGCCAAGTAATTCACCAAATCTACATACCATAGCAGAAGAGCTTGCTTCACCATAAGGAGTTGCTCATCGGGGAAGGATTCTTGAATTGGAACACTCTTGTCATCCTCATTTCCATATTCAAGTCTAGAGAGATGGTTGCCACTTGATTTTCCGTCCCCCTTCTATCTTTGATTTCAAGGTCAAACTCCTGAAGTAAAAGCACCCATCTAATGAGCCTTGGTTTAGCATCTTTCTTCGAAATGAGATACTTGATTGCCGAATGGTCCATATAAACTGTGACTTTAGTTCCCACAAGGTAGGCCCTAAACTTGTCAAATGCAAACACAACAGCTAGTAGTTCCTTTTCAGTGGTGGTGTAGTTAAGTTGAGCATCCGTCAATGTCTTACTAGCGTAATAGATGGAGTGAAAAATCTTGCTTCTTCTCTGCCTAAGCACAGCACCTACTGCATGATCACTAGCACCGCACATCAATTCAAAAGGCAGGTTCCAATTTGGAGTTACTATGACCGGGGCGGACACCAGAGCTTTCTTCAACTCCACAAATGCTTGCCGACACTCATTGTTGAAATCAAAGTGCCTATTTTGCTCTAGCAACGAGCACAAGGGCTTGGAAATCTTTGAGAAATCCTTAATAAACCTTATGCAGAAACCAGCGTGTCCCAAGAAACTTCTAACTCCTTTGACTGAGGTTGGAGGTGGCAATTTCTCAATGACTTCAATTTTTGCTCGATCAACTTCAATGCCTCTGCTAGAAACTTGTGGCCCAAAACAATTCCTTCTTGAACCATGAAATGGCATTTTTCCCAGTTTAGTACAAGATTGGTCTCCTGACTCCTTTCTAGCACTTTTTCCAAGTTCTTTAAACAGTACCAAAAACAAAAAAATCATCCATGAAGATCTCACGAGTTCTCTCTAGCATATCTGTGAAAATTGGTGTCATACAGCGTTGGAAGGTGGTTGGAGCGTTGCACAGGCCGAATGGCATCCTCCGAAAGGCAAATGTCCCATAAGGACAGGTGAACGTTGTTTTCTCCTGATCTTCCGGTGCTACAACAATCTAGTTATAACCAGAATATCCATCTAGAAAATAGTAGTACTCTTTACCAACTAATATGTCCAACATTTGATCGATAAAAGGCAGGGGAAAATGGTTTTTTCTTATGGCCTTGTTGAGCTTTCGGTAGTCCATACACACTCTCCAACCAGTCACAGTTCGTGTTGGTATCAATTTGTTATTGTCGTTAGCCACAACTGTCACTCTACCCTTCTTTGGTACACACTAGACAGACGAGACTGACCCATGAGCTATTTGAAATGGGGTAAATAATCCATGCATCAAGCCATTTAATCACCTCCTTCTTCACGACTTCTTTCATAATGGGGTTCAGTCTGCGTTGTTGTTCAACTGAGTTGCTCCAGCAGCAACTTCTCTTGCTTCGAATCTAAAGAGGATGAAATAATCACGGGTAAGGTGCTTCCCTCTCCTAGGTAAGCATACCTCAAGTGTGAAGGAAGAGGTTTTAACTCCAACACTGGTGCTTCTTTAATAGATGGCTTGACTCGTTTAAACACTCCCTCAGTTAATTCTAATGATTCAAACAGCCTCTTCCCATTATCTCCATGTTGCTTGGTTCCCACCCACGTCACTTGAGCATTGTCCTCTCCGTTATCCTCATCAAAAATGCCAAACAAAGACACTTGAAATGCATCCTTGCAGCACATCTTTTGGATTTCTTCATTCACAACAACATAAAAAATACTCACAGCTGCACACTTTTCCACATCATCTGAAAATTGCATAGCCTTGAACACATTAAATGTGACCTGCTCATCATGAACCCTCATTGTGAGCTCTCCTTTTTGTACATCAATCAACGTCCTGCCTGTAGCAAGAAATGGCCTGCCTAAGATGATTGGCACCTCCTTATCGGGCTCATAGTCAAGCACGATAAAATCCACAAGGAAGATGAACTTATCTACCCGTACAAGGACATCTTCAATTTTTCCCTCGGGGTAAACAAACGAGCGGTCAGCAAATTGAAGTGTAACCGTGGTTGGCCTTGCTTCACATATGCCCAATTGCTTGAAAAATGACATTGGCATCAAATTTATACTTGCACCGAGATCACATAGAGCCCTTCCACAGTAGGTGTCTCCAATGGAGCAGGGAATTGTGAAACTTCCAGGGTCACTTAACTTGGGTGGTAGCTTACTTTGCAAAATCACACTGCATTCTTTTGTGAGTGCCATAGTTTCAAATTCTCCAAACCTTCTTTTCTTCGTAAGCATGTCTTTCATAAACTTTGCATAAGTTGGCATCTGCTCCAAGGCTTCCACAAGAGGTATGTTGATGTGGAGTTGCTTCAATACATTAAGAAACTTGCCAAATTGCTTATGTTGTTGCTGCTTTTGGAATCTCTGAGGGAATGGTGGTGACAAATTGACTTTTTGCTGATCATGGCTATTCTGCTTTGTTGCTACAGCAAAATTTTCAACAGAGTGCTGATTTGTTGAATCTTTCACGCCATTTTCCTCCTTTTCTTCTGGTTGGATTGAAGAGGGCTCCCCATGCTTCTTAGACTTGTCTTTTGGCATCTCCAGCTCTTTCCCACTCCTAAGAGCGATTGCCTTGCAATGCTCATTCCCTTCATGCCTTGGCTTCTCCGTGTCACTAGGCAAAGTCCCATGGGATCTGTTATTTAGAGCATTAGCAAGCTGCCCCATTTGATTTTCTAGATTCCTCAAAGACGCTACTTGGTTTTGAATCATGGCGGATTGATTTTGAATCTCCATTTCATTCTTTGCAATATACTCTTTTAGCATGATTTTGAGTGCATTTTTCTGCTCCTGGTTTACTAGTTTTTGAAGTGGGTTTGTTTGTTGGTAACCAAGTAGTGGGGTTGCTCGGTTAGGTCTACTTGATGAGCTTGAGTCTTGGTTACTCCAAGAAAAATTCAGATGCTGCTTCCACCCAGGATTGTAAGAATTGGAGTAGGGATTGTTTCCCCTTTTGAAATTACCCATATAACACACTGATGCTGGGTTAGAAGGGCATTCTTCAAATAAATGATCATCTCTGCAGTATACACATGAAACAGTTGTTGTTTTCACTTGTTGAGCTTCTCCTGACATTTTCATGGACTTGGCCATGTTGGCTAAAGAAGACACTTGGACTGTAATAGCAGTCAATGCATCTACTTCATAGGACCCAACTACTCTTCTTCCTGTAGTATCCCTGCTGATTGGATATTGATAGTCATTGTTGGCTATCCTCTCTAGAATCGCATAAGCTTCATTGTAGGACTTGTCAAGAAGTGCCCCATTTGCTGATGAATTCACCACCATTCGAGTTTGAGCATTGAGACCGTTATAAAAGATCTCCATTTGACTCCAATGTGCAATACCATGATGTGGGCATTTTCTCAACAAGTCTTTGTACTGTTCCTAAGTTTCATAGAGTGCCTCATCATCCCGTTGCTGGAAGGAAGTAATGTTATTCCTCAATTTGGTGTTCTTAGCAGGAGGTTGATACTTGAGCAAGAACTTCTGAGCTAGATCATTCCACGTGGTGATTGAGTCTGGAGGCACTGAGTTCAACCACATCCGAGCCAAGTCTCACAGAGAGTAAGGAAAGAACTTCATTCTTAAAGCCTCTTGCGGTACCCCTTATTGTTTGAACGAGTCACAGACTTCAATGAAAAGTCTGAGATGCAACCATGGATCTTCAGTTGGCAAGCCAGCAAATTGTCCAACTGTTTGGAGCATTTGAAACATAACTGGTTTTAGCTCAAATTGTGAGGCTTGAATATCTGGTCTAACAATGCCCGGATTTAGATCATCAAGAATAGGCACAACATGCTCTCGAATAGGATGGTCTCTATCATCTATCACTGTTGCATTGTTCCCGTTATTCCCATTCCCATTTCGGACCATAACCTGCTCCTCCATGTTAGCTAAATTAGCCAACCCACACTGCTCTCTTCTTCTCGCTCTGAAAGTGCACTCAATCTCAGGATCTAGATGAAGCAACTCAGGTTGTTATGGCACGTTCATGCACCAAATTCAATATCCTGACTGAAAACAAAAATTGAAATAACTGTAAGAATAATGAAAACAGAATGAATAGCAAATGATTTTTACAAAATTGTTCAATATGCTTAATCCCCGACAACGGCGCCAAAAACTTGTTGCACAATATCTTACGTTCAAAATAATGTGAGTTTTTTATGCAAGTGTACATAGCCAATAAGTAATAAAGAGTGAGCGAGTTATCATTCCCACGGAGATTCACAAATTGAGCTAACTCCTAAAAATCTATCGCTAAACAAGTCAATATAGAATTTGGTTAAAACGAAAGTTGTATTCAATTATCAACTAAACAAATAAGGAAAAGAATAGTACTAAACTATGGGTAACTTGAATTCAAAGCTATCTAATCTTATCAAGCACGTTAATAATGGTAACAACTAGCTAGGATTAAGAATCCCCCTAAGATGCAAATCTGCCCGTGTTGCTGCCTAATGTTATAGCAAAATTTTCGTTCCATCAACCTGGGTTTCACACGTTAATCACAATGATCTTCCCATATCACTTACGTTTTAGGTCTCTCAATTAGATCTAACATATTCCTATGCAAAACCTAATTTCAAAACATCATTTAATGCACCAATTTCCAACAGATATACAAGGTAACAATATATTCTTATACTGTGACAAATCAGGCAAATTCTAATGAGATTTCCTGATCTTACATCATCCAAGTTAGATCTACTAGATTTATCTTTTTCCAAAGTTAAATCCAATTAATAACTACAAATTAATTTCCATCAATAAGTAGTAATAATGATAAACACACTTGAATTAACAGAATTAAAAGATCACTTAGCATTAAACATTAACTAAGCATCATCACAACTTAGGGTTTATCATAATCCCAGTTAAAGCAAATTAGCTCATGTTTACAAATGTAGAAATAAGAGAAATATCAAAAACCATAATGTTCAACATATCAAATTAAATGGAGTTTACAGATTAAGAAAGGGGAGGAGATGGAAAGATAAACGTGGAGTGGATTCCTCCACTCTTAGCTCGTCCTTGCTACCTTCTCTCCGAGCTGCTTCCCTTTCCTCATATGTACTCTATCGACTGTCCTTTGTTCAAAATGTGCTGAAAAATCCCTCTTCTGTACTAGCCAGCCGTCACCTCCTCTTCATTTTCTATATATATGCCAGCCTTTTGGACCACATGCTTTCATTCCTTCGGCTAGGGTACACAAAGGAGCTCAGTGACAGGCACATGTGAGCTGCTAAGGATTTTTTCCATGATTATGCCATCTCAGCCATCCAAGTACGGCTCCTCAAAATAAGTGGAGAATGCCAGCTGTACGTTCCCAGCTTTTAAGATTCAGCCAGAATAAGCTGCTGCAGCATTCCATGGCAAAATTTGTCCTGTCGTTTTCCAGCTTCTACCATAAAAAACGACACTGCATGCATACTCATCTTGCACTTTAGTTCTTTCAAACGTTTTTTTCTTTCTTTCCATTCATTTTTTCACAAAATTAGAAAATGTAACAACACGCTAGCAAACATCAAAACAATAAAAACAACTAAAACTGAAAGATTAATCCAACAAATCACCCTCTTAGTAACCAATTTAAGCTTAGAAATGACTAAGATCACTATATTTTCATAGAGTTATTAGGCATCCCATGGGTGCCCCGGGGGGATCCCGGGGGTGTGCCGGGCGTGCCTCGGGTGTCTCCCTTAGGGTGCCCTTGGGGTTCCCCGGGGGTGTCCCGGGGGTGCCCTGGGGGTGCCCAAGGTGACTCAGGGGTTCCCTGAAGGTCTCCCGTGGGTCTCCCGGGGGTGCCCCGGGGGTCCCCCGGAGGTGTTCCGGGGGTGCCCCAAGGGTGTCTTGAGGGTGCCCCGGTGGTCTCCCGGGGGTGCCCCGTGGCTGCCCCAGGGGTGCCTCGTGGGCACCCCGTGGGGGCCCCGAGGATGTCCCGGGGGTGCCCTGGGGTTGCCCCGTGATACGAACCACGCCAACAACGTGACGAAACCTGAAATTAAATATGGAATTACAATTCAAGATCCTCAAGAATTGATGGAAACCGTGACCTGTTGCTTAGCAAAACAAGAACCTTGTTATGGTGAAGATGCCACAAACGAGTATGGAAATCCGTTTGATAAGTCAAGTTTGAACACCACAAGGAAACATTGATAAGTTTGAATTAGTTTCTTCAAGAACTCATGAAGAATATCTCATAACATGAATAAACATCAAAACTAACTTTATTATCCGAATTTCAACCTTAAATAGCCAAAAATAACATGAATAGTTTTAAAATTTGAAAAGGCCTAATTTACCCTTAATGATGTGCAGCACCTAAAACAAGATAATCACCTAAAGATAAGATAAACACACCTAAAGCTAATCCTAGGAAGGAATCCAAATTTGACTCCAACGCCTTCTTTCTAAACATGCCTATTTGGGAATTTAAATGATAAACTGATACTTAAATCTAAAAAGATAGTATTAGGATGAAATCAAGTCTTCATCCGCAATCTTGACTTGATCCCTTACTGGAAATTGTGCCTAAAGCCTTTTGGACTCCCCCTTGCAAGTGTAGCTTGGAATGACATGCAAGTTGGCCATGTAATGGCTCGATGGATGTGTATGGCCGATTCTTTCTCTTCTTGTTGTAGGACTCTCCGAACTAGGTTGTTCAACTCGTCTTTAAATCTTTTAGCTCGATACATCGTCACCGGACCAACTGGGACTTAAATTGGATCATAAGTATTCCTTGCATGATGTCATCATCA